TGTAATAAATGTATTTCATAGAATTGTCACTTATACATATAATATTTTTTTTAGAATAAAATAGAATAGAAAATCATTTATTCAAATAAACTTACATTGAAGCACTTTTGAATAGTCATCACATTTTTTTTAATCTACCGCTCAGTCGGAAAGCTGTCTCATCACGAGAAGAACGAGCGAGAAACTTGCGTGTTGTTTTTTAAATGATTGTTGTAACTTTACATTTTTTGAGTTTAAATGTGTGAATAGAAACTACCAACTAGCACTAACCCATTAAAGTCAAGTCTTAGTATATGCACGAAGTATTTTTTTTATTTAAGTATAAAAAAATCAATACAAATATATCTAAGAGTATAGTAACATGTTTTTGTATACACATTTTTATTTACACAGAGAATAAGTCTTTTTAAACATACGAAGTATCAATTTTTTTTAATGTGAAAATCACATTTAGATCTAGCATGGATTTAAATGTGATTTTCATTGATGTTGATTAGAAATTTATTACCGTTTGGTAATCGTTTTATTTCAAACAAAAGAATTGCAACTATTTTCAACATAATAATAATCTATACATATAAATAAAATTGGAGTGTCTGTTTGTAATATTGAAATAAACCGTTTTTTACTACATGCATATTATAAATATAAATACGGTACATACACCAAAATAACATTTTTTACAATTTTCGTCTGTCTGTCTGTCGGTCTGTTTGTTCCGGCTAATCTCAGAAATGGCTGGACCGATTTAGACGGGACTTTTTTTGGCGGGTAGCTAATGTAACTTAAACTACTTTTATTTTAGAAAAAAGTCTTTCATTTTAGAAAAATAAAGTTAAATTCCACACGGACGAAGTCGCGGAAACAGCTAGTTATGGATATGTTCATATATAATAATAAATCGTGTAACTAATCATAATAATTAATCTAAGTAACATCAACAAATATGCATTCCACTATTTTATTTCGTAACTCAAATTCAAATTCAAAAATCATTTATTCATGTAGGACATTTTAGCCGCTTATGATCGTCAAATTTTTACATTCTAATTTTATTTTTTTTCCCTACCGTCCAGTTCGGTATATAGATCCAATTGAGAAGAACTGGCAAGAAACTCAATTGAATTACTTTTTTTTTAAAGAAGTAAGTAAGTTCCTAAACTATTGATGGATTTGAGAAATTCTTTCACTGTTTGCTACATTATTTCAGACATATATATTTATTCGTGTTGTATTATACAATTATGATATAATAAATTATGAAAAATAAAAATAAATATAATATGCACCTATAAATACAATTGTACATTTATGAAGGTGCTAATGATAATTAGCGTTAGCATCTTACACATGTTCATCGACATCGTAATATAATATTATATTATCTGTGGTAATATGCTTTATTTTTGTACTTGTTTTAACTTGCAAACAAAGTGATTACAATTAATAATAATAATAATAATCTCAGGACAATTCACACAGCGCCATCTAGACCCAAGTTAAGCTAGCTAAAGCTTGTGTTATGGGTACTAGATAACTGATACATATACATAGATATTTTTTTTTGTAAATACATATATATTATACATAGAAAACACCCAGACCGATACAAACAATCATATCATGGATACAAATGTTTGTGCCGTGCGAGGAATCGAACCCGCGACCATCGGTCGTAAAGCGGTGTACTAGACCGCTAGACCACCGAGGTCGTCTAATATATATTATATTAATATGATTTCCCCACTGAAAATTAGCGCTGTGTGTGTGTATATGTGGTTATGCTATAGTATAAACGCTAAATGTCATAATCATTACATTTAATTTAATTTACTCACAACAATTCACATTGTGTTGAATATTATTATATATCATAATTTATAATTAATTAGTTATGTCTAAGTCACTTTCAGCATTACCAGTACATTTTATCTTTTATGTTATACATATATAGTACAAACATTACTGTAAACTCTACTATTATATATAACTGAATAAATATTGATGTAAAACTAAATGAAGGTCTTTGTTATCACTACTAGCTGTGCCCGTGGTTTCACTCGCGTGATTTTATTAGCATATGTGTTATTCTGATATATAAGCTATATTACTGTAAAGTTTCATCAAAATCCATTCAGTAGTTTTTGCGTGAAAGACAAACAAACATGCATCCATACTCACAAACTTTCGCGTTTATAATATTATATTAAGATTGTATATGGAAATATCATAAAGTAAGTTTGAAATAGAATAGAAATAGAAATAGAAATAATCTTTATTCAAATAAACTCATTACAAGCACTTTTGAATAGTCATATTTTGATTCTACCACTCATTCGGAATGCAGATTCATCACAAGAAGAATGAGCAAGAAACTTGTGTGTTGCTCTTTTTAATAGATGTTTTTTTAATATAAATAATTACAGTATAACAAGTAAGAGGCATGCGATAATCAACATAGAAGTCGCTACGCACTCATTATTAATGTAATCAGATAATATTGTCAGTGCTATAGATTTAAAGTTTTTCTATAAAAACATTATTATCGTTAACGAATTCTTCAATTTTATAGTAAGCTTTTTTGCAAAGGAACTGTTTTATTTGACATTTAAATCTTTTTTCTGGCAGATTTATAACAGACTCTGGTATTTTATTGTAAAACCTTACGCAATTGCCATAAAACGAATTACTAACTTTATTTTTAAATGTGTGAAAACAAGTTTGAATACGTTCTGTGGTATTTCCAGCGATGGAAAGTATGTTTTCATTTATATTTTAGTAACCTCGGTGGTCCAGCAGTTAAGTATACCCTCACTTCGCGATGGTCGTGGGGTCGATTGAGGTTTCAACCCCAAATAGTAGAAATATTTTTTTATGGAGTATAACGACCCGCCTGTATTGAAATATTTTAAAAGGAAATAACACTTTCGAAACTTGTTGCTTAATATAATAACTTCTAGATTTTTTGCTTTTACTAGTTATATACATATTTTACCCTTTGACACTTGTCACGTTTGTCACAAATGCGACCTCTCTCTGGGGAGAGGGGGAGTTACAAATATACCTACTTGTAAGTCCCAAAATAACCTAAGTTTAAAAATTTACCCCTTTGTTACTACTTACTACTTTGTAGTAAATAGTAACAAGGGGGTGTATTTTGAGGGGATAAGACAGAGTCAGAGATGATAAAATTCATATAACGTAATCTATACATATAAATAAAATTGGAGTGTCTGATTGTAATATTGAAATAACCATTTTTACTACATACATATGAATATAAATACGGTACATACACCAAAAATATTTTTTTTATAATTTTATCTGTCTGTCTGTTTGTTCCGGCTAATCTCTGAAATGGTTGGACCAATTTTGATAGGATTTTTATTGGCAGATAGCTGATGTAATAAGGAGTAACTTAGGCTACTTTTATTTTAGAAAAATAAAGTTATATTCCACGTGGACAAAGTCGCGGGTACAGCTAGTTTTTATACAAATATAAGTACATTATGATAGGATACATCGTTATTTACATTTATGTGTTAATGTTTGAATTAATTTGAACGGATATAGTAGTATATGTGGACACTAATGGAGTCATTATAACTGACCTACGCGCAACACGCGACACGGACGCAAAGCAAACAACCGACACAACACACACAGACAGGTTTAATGTTTTTGTGAGACATTTAGATAAGTGTTACATAAACTTTCTCTATTAGATTATCTACTATTTACTTCTGTTTGTTACAACATGTATTTTATTTATTTACGCAGGTTAAACCACGGGCACAGCTATAGTAGCTTTGTATTTTTTATAATTTTTGTCAGTCTGTTTGTTCCGACTAATCTCTGAAACGGCTGGACCGATTTTGACGGGACTTTTTTGGCAGGTAGCTTATGTAATACCGAGTAACTTAGGCTACTTCTATTTTAGAAAAATAAAGTTAAATTCCACGCGGACGAAGTCGCGGGTATTGCTAGTATATTATATATTTAATACATTATACGTATATAAATTACGAGTCACATATATAACGCATTGAATTTTATCTGTAGGTATATAATTATAAATACCTAACTGATAATGACAATATTTATAAATCAGTAATTGGCTGAGTGTGAACCAATGGGAACGCTATATGCACTCCATGTACAACACCATCCCACCCAATTTGCGACTACATATCATCAATGTTGATAAAAAATGTCTTATTGTTATCAATTACGTAACAAATCTTTATAATATAATAATAACTAGTTGTCCCGGCAAATGTTGTTTTGCCATATAAATTAATAATGCTATAAAAAAATACGGGTTGGTGATAGAAGGGTGAAAATTTAGGGTTGAATGTATTTTTTAATGACACAATAATAAAATATAAATTTAAAATGTTGCCCAAAAAATGTAATAAATAATGTTAGGGGTGGACAACCCTTATCACTTAGGGGTATGAAAAATAGATAGTAGCCGATTCTCAGACCTACTGAATATGCATATAAAATCGGTCAATCGTTTCAGAGGATTATGGCAACTAACATTGTTACACGAGAATTTTATATACATATAATAATATATAAATATACTCAAATTTTGCTAATTACACAATTTAACAGAAGCTCTACGTAAACAGACAATACTTATAACTAAATCGTATATAACCGTCAACCGCACTGTTCAATCGTCGAGCACTGTTATCAATCACATCACCTATTATTCCACTTGTCGGCGAGTCTTATAATTGTCACATGCACTTGTCACAAGTCGGTACGGGACACGTCCGCGCCAGTTCGGTCCGACACTGTGCGTGTGGGCTCGGAGCATACGACCGCGCCGGCGGCGTCACTCACTACAAGTGCACCCGCCGCCGCCCGCCGCCCTCACGCCGCTACGTCACCACCTCGACCTCGTGTACACACCACTATTTAAACCACAACGCCGTCACCGGCCACATCTATTCGCAACACAGCCTTCCCAAGAGCGAACGTTACCACGTACCCAAACTTACGACATGTCGAGCGAAAGAATTATCACAGTGACGCTAGTGGCCGTCGCCGTGGCGGCGCTCGCAGCGGCGATGCCAGCCGACCTGCAGCCCAGCAGGCTGGACCTGTCCGACGTGCTCAACAAGACCGTGTGCCCCATCAAGATTGAGATCAACCACGACTCCAAGCGCATCCCGCCGCGCATCAAGGAGATGAAATGCGCGGATAACCCGAACAAGTGGTGCGTGAGGAACCACATCCCGCCGAACGAGTGCTGTCACCACCGCCACGCCGACGTGGAGATGCACTGCGTGGAGATACAGGACTGGGTGCAAGTGTATTTCCCGGAGTCCGACGAGACGCAGACGACCCGCGTGTCCGTCGGGTGTATGTGCGTGATGCAGGAGAGCGTGGAGGCGCAGGGGTCCCTGCCGAGCTGACCGCGCTGAGGTCCACGCGACGAGAACCCCACCAACAGTTCCTACACTCCACTAGTGATAGTTAACTTATTTATTTGTGAACGATCGCGGTTGTACATAATCACAACCATTGGTTTCTTCTTATAAATAACATCCATTATTTATAAGAAGAAACCAATGGTTGTGATACGGCGCCACCGGCAGGCTCCGGGGCCCGCGCCAGCGCCAGTGTGACGTGCAGTTTGTAACTTTGTTAGTGAGGGCAGGCCGGCGGCTGGTCCGCCGCCCTGGCCCGGACAGATCTCTCTAGGACGCCTGCCACTGCCAGGCTTCCCGTAAATTAAGATAACGTTATTTATTGACTTACACTATTGTTATACATTTTCAATATAAAATGACAATGATTTTCATCTTTTATTTCCTAATTTCTATTGATCCTACAGCCTATAATTAATGTATGTAGTGTTGACACTATACTAGTATTTTATCAAAAAAATAATTTACTATAAATTGAGTCTTACGTTTAGAATTTTATTTTTAATGAAATATAATATAATTAAAATACAATAATATAGTAAATACTATTTATAAAAGACATTAGGTAATGTTTTACTCTGTTGAATTATTGCAAACACTCCAGGAATGATTAATTTCATAAATGCTATACTTATTTTGTACTTGTCACTTGATTCAATCAATTATTCTTGTAACGTAAGAAATATATCTATATCTATAAATAACTCCAAAACATACATATTCATATATTTTATTTATTATATTTAATTAAATAAAGCTGAAAAATATAGACTAAACAACATTACAAAAATTGGACATAATATTTTTATAAACAAGAGGAATATATGAATATACGTGTTAGTAATTTTTAATAATAGTATAACTGACTAAGAGAGGAGAAACCATAAATATATCTTATATATAAAATTCTCGTGTCACAATGTTAGTTACCATACTCCTCTGAAACGACTTGACCAATTTTTATGAAATTCTATATGCATATTCAGTAGGTCTGAAAATCTACTATTTATTTTTCATACCCCTAAATGATAATAAGTCCATCCCAAACATTATTTTTTTATTTTTTGGGCAATATTCTTTACTTATATTTTTTATTAAATAATACATACAACCGTAAATTGTCACCGTTCTGTCACGAACCCTATTTTTTTATAGCGTTATTAATTTATATGGCAAAACAACGTTTGCCGGGACAGCTAGTATAATATAAAATTCACCTGGTAAACGTATTAACTAGGAATATAATGAGTTAAATCTGTGGAAATCATAAAATTTGCTACTACCTATGCGTTTTATTTGTTTCTGAATAAACTTTGTATAACCAACGTGCACTCGTAGACAATTTTTACAAAACCTCTGTGGGGGTTTAAGCCCACAATTCCGTGATGATGCTATTGATTGATTGATTTCCTAAAAAAAACCGCCTAAAAATTGGGTTTTCCTAAATAAAACCGCCTAAAAATTGGGTGTTCCTAAATAAAAACGCCTAAAAATTGGGTGTTCCTAAATAAAACCGCGTCGGTTGAATGCTACTCCAACACTGATTTTTGTTACTAAAATAAATATAACGAGGTGAAATGTATTGAGGTGAAATTGCATGTGTAGGCAATTGTGTATTGCACAGTAAGCAGGCATGGGCGGTTGCCCGTACAGCCTCTTTTGAAAGATGTGTTTTTATCCACCCATAAAAAGCATAGTATCTTAGTCTTTATGAATAGCAACTCATTAGTTTCATCGCGTATAGATATACCCGTGGATGCCGTGCCATGCTGATGCACTGATTATGTATGTTATTCAGTTATGCTATAACTGAATAGGGATGTTATGGATATGAAATTTCGGATACGGATAGGTTTCGGATATAGGAATAATTATTATACCGGATACGAATGCGGATATATATCGATGCGATATCCGAAATAATATGAGATTATTTCGGATCATCCGTTAGTTTCGGATGATTTCGATTAAGGATATTATTTTTTTAAGGAATTTCAAAAGTAAAATACAAATAGCTAATAAAATAGTTACATAACGTGTCTCAATTAGGCTCCGCCTCTATCCGATATTGTCCGAAACTTTTATTTCGGATTCGGTTACGGTTACGAATATTTTTTTATAGCATCCCTGGATCAAAGTTTAGTGGTGGTCTAGGTTTAGCAAGCACCCTCAATTTAAATGGTCAGGGGTTCATACGTATTAATGCATATGATTATATATCTGGATGTTTTCTATATATTTATAAAAATGATATTAAAATATGTTTAGCAGTTGTTTAACATGAATGTAGTACAAGCTCTGCTTAATTCAAGACTATGAGGCGTCGCTATGTAAAATATTCTGATTGTCATCGATTAACATATGGATTGTTGTCGATCTGTCTAAAAAAATGAATACCATAGCTTAAGGTTACCGTACCGTACCGTAATTACCGTGCGAGGAATCGAACCCGCGACCATCGGAAGTAAGGCAGTGCCTAAACCACTAGACCACTGGCACTGTCAATTCAAAGTTATGCTAGAACATATCATATAATTTGTATGTAGTCAACATTTATTGAGTAAGCACCTCTTCCTTGCCTTAAAAAAAATAATACGGTATTACTTTCTAAGTTTGTGTTATGATTTCTCTTTCTCAGCCACTACCCAATGACTTTTTTAATTGACGACATATACTGGACTTGACTTGATGACCAGGAACGTTCTCTAACAGTATTCCTTTGGATCAACGGGGGATCCTTGAGCTGGTTCCAGGACTTAGGTGGACCACTAATTGAACATAATGAATTTATTTATATATTTTGACACCATACAGATTTTATGTAACTACATACCTTCAATATTTAATTAACTTAATATATTATAATGCCTTTGTACATTATTAAAATACCCACTTTTTACTTGTATCTATTGTTATCAAAATTAAATTATAAGTTCTTGACTTGACGCCAACGCTGGATCCGCCCTTGCATTGGATTGAACAGTTTTATATTGAAAGAGTACATAATAAAAAAAATAACCACTTGAATTTAAAAAGTAAAAGACTGGAACTATCAATAAATTAAAAAGATCTAGTAAATCATATTTATTATTTACTAGCTGTAGCCGCAACAATGTATATGATAGTTTGGTTGGCTGATAACTTGAAATAAATTTGATTATAACACCTACAGATCACGCAGGCAGAGACGCGGTATATGCCTAGCTAGTGTAACCGCAAAGAAGTGGACACGTCCCAAACTGTCAATCGAGAGAAGGGAACCACAACGCAAGTTTTAGTCAAAATAAAATATGGATTTATGAGTCACACACTTCGCTTTGACTCATCGCCGCAGAGCTCTGTAACACCCATGTCACTAATAGGTAGAGATGTGCTAACTCGTAAATAACATGACTCGAGTCAACTCGAGTTAAAATTCAGGTAACTCGAGTTAACTCGAGTTGACTCGAGTTACCTGGAACAAAAAGTTTTTCTTTATTTTTTCGAACAATTCTAATGTTTTTGGGTGCAGCTACCTTGAAAGCTTCACCAAACTTTAAGGGGCGAGTAGAAATGGCACTTTAAAGCACGGAAGGACTTATGGAACGCATAATCATTTTAATGACAACATAATCGGACGAATATGCGAAAAAGAATGATAACAACCTCAAATAAATATTGAAATATTTGTGACGAGTGAAAATTGTATGATATGAAATGATCGGAAAATTTCATGTCATTGTCAGTTTGATGACAGAATCATGCTCTTTCACTTGATCCTTTCATTTACCAGTTGAATTCTTCCAAATCGAGTTGGCAGAATTCAACTCGAGTTAACTCAAACTATGCGCAACTAGAGTTGACACATCTACACTAGTAAGTAGGTATGTATTTCCCATATTCACGTTGCTTACATAAAAAAATCTCATTACAATAAAATCGTCATAGAAAATGAAACTTTTGATAATGATCTGATTGCTTTTACTTCAAATCAAAAATTATATATTCATGTAGGACATTTTAGCCGCTTATGAACGTCAAGTTTTTATATTAACAATTTTTTCCTACTGTCCGGTTCAATATATATACCCAATTAAGAAGAGAAGAACTGACGAGAAGAGACTCAACTATATATGCTTTCTTGATTCAATTATTTTAGAAATATGAAAGCGTAGCGGGTTTTGTATTAATTGCCGCATGCATTCTTATGTAAAGTGCGAATACTGTAACTACCATATAGTAATTTTTGTAGCTGTGACGTGGTCGTGTGGAATGAGTAGTTGATTTGATTGAGATGGCAATTGTGAGTAGCTATGACGTGGTCTGGTGTTTTGAGTAGTCATGCTCACTAAAATGTCCAGACTTGTGGCGGCGTGGTGGGCCGGGTCATTGGGCTCCCTAAAATATGGTCGAGCGCAGTGGTGGCTGGCTCATCCGTCATACTCGTGAACGGGTGCTGCTTGTGTGGACTGGTCTGCTCTAATCACTATGACTTATTTTCTCTTATTAATTGTTTAACCAGTTGTTGTATATTGAATGTTTTTTTCTATTTTATTATTTCATTGAATTAGTGCTAATCGGTGGTTTGTATTCACACACTTAAACTTAAATTGTAAGTAAGAATAAATTATTTAAAAGAGCAACACACAAGTTTCTTGCTTGTTCTTCTTGTGATGAGACAGCATTCCGAATGAGCGGTAGATTAAAAAAAAAAATGTTATGACTATTCAAAAGTGCTTCAATGTAAGTTTATTTGAATAAATGATTTTCTATTCTATTCTATTCTATTCTATTCTATGTTTTTTTTAAAAGCCAGTTTGTTTACAATACTTTCTCATAGTTTCGTATAGGTGTATACGTATAATATTAAATGAAAATCCCGTGCGTGAACAACAATTGACAGACACGTTTGTCATACAAATAATTGTTTAATGAGTAGGCTTTGATCAATTTATATATACATATATATAACTCAAAGGTGACTGACATAGTGATCTATCAACGCA